TTAGATACTATCTATCTGGTTATGATTCTCACAGTAATTATGACTAGTGACTAAATACGTTGGTTGACTTGACTAAGAAATAGATAGTAGTGGTGTAGGTTTATTCACTTTTTCACTTAATCTAAGTTATGAGTTTTAGTATTCTTTCTCGTATACCTTTTTGTTCCACCTTTTTTTATTAAACCATATCGTAAATATTTAGTCTTGTTCTCGTCTCTATTACAAGATTTTGGTGTTGTTATATTAATATGGTTTAGTTCTTTGGGCCAATGTAGATTTGTTTCAGTCTCTATGTTAATTATAGCTAACTTACATTAACTGATTGTTTTCATTTACTACTGTTATTATGATACACTATGAGAATACTTCATTTACTGCAATAATGATTTAATAGGATTATTAATTGTTTTACGATTGGTAGTTTCGTCCTAGTATGAAGCTCCTCGGCAGTGCACATCCACGATCACACTCGAGGGATTCAGACCCAGGGGCTTCAGTCTCGCGCGTGAACATTTAACCTCTAGACCACCAAGCCGGCCGGCATCCAACAATGTTAATGTCTAACTTCAACCAGTCCACGAAATTGCGCGACCATCTCCTGTTGTGCTGAAGCACATACCTAATCTCTATCCGACACGGATTAGCTCCACTGGTCACGAATTATGAATTTCAACTTCCCATTGAATGCCGGAGAGCCCTGAGTTGGTGTCTTATCCTACTATGCTATTCGTCAGTATTGGGCACTAGTGATCCTGTCAGGGACTTAGCCCAAAACCTTTAGGTTTTGCAGAGCATCGCTGAGGAGCCTCACACTAGGGTGAAACGACTGTTCATTGCTCTGTCGTTTTCAATGGTACCCTATCTGAGATCAATCTGTGGCAAATACAACCTACAATTTAAACCAATCTCCACAAAAATTCAACCAAATCTTATTTTAGTCGAAAGACAGAACTGAAGCTATATATGTACACAATCATCTCGTAACATATTATGCATTTTTTAGGTATGAAGCGTAATTGAACATGATTTTTATAGCTAAAGTCGTTGAAAGCCGATCTGATTCTACATATCACATAATGTCACTGATAATTGAAGTCAATGGAAACTATTTTTAAATTTTTCTGAAGCTATGATAACCAGTATTTCATTTACAAATCTGACTGGCAGTAATTTTTAGGTCGGAGTAGAATTTCATCTGAATAGTATCAAACGGTATATCACGAGTTGATTTCACTTAGACTACCATTAAAACTTGGAAGTACTAGAAAGCTATTTTTTCATAGTATGGGACTCATTAGCAATGCTCATCCACAGCTCTACGTCTGAGAATCGACTCAAAAACCTTCAGTCTCTATCTCGGATGCTTACACTCTGGACCGTTGAGACGATATCCAGCGGTGTCATTGTCTAATTTACATCAAACCAAATAACATGAAAGTATTATATATGAGTAATAATCGGTCACGTAATCACAGATATATTGATTCTTTGTCTTCTCTTCGATCCTGGACCTTGAAATTACAACTTATATGATGAGAATTCATCCCTTTTTTTCAAATTATATTGTCTATGCTTAGTGTTTCCTATCATCTTTGATACTGTTACTACTTCTACTACTCTGAGATTTTTCCTGATAATTCGAACTGTGTGTGCTGATATGACGTGATACTTTGAACCATTGCACAAATATAAAAGGTTACACGTTGTTTATAACTAACTGAGTGATACTTCGTAGGCTGTAGTTCATTTTATAGACAATTTTTAGTGAATAGAATTGTCAAATCTATCGACCACCTTATAAATGTAAAATATAAGACTCGGTTGTAATGATGATGTTCAACATTTTTCTTGATTAATGAAATCTTTTGTTGTATTCTCATGCATAGCTTTTTATCCATTTATCGTTTCTTTTATTTATAAATGGTTGAATTTCTTTAACTAAAGACTTTAGTAAGTATACTACTCATAATGAGAACAAAAGTTTAGATAATTTAACTCTGTATGGACAAACGAATTAGTACATTTAGGAAATAGTTATGTAATGAATATCGCACAAAACAGGCACAAGTTCATGAAGTCACTGACAAGTGACTGAGTCATGTTGGTAGGTGTAGACTACCTGGTTGGGGACCGCGAGATGATCGCAACCGATGGTTAGAGACCTTGAATGACATGGCTCAAAATCGTTTGCAATGGCGCAGGTGCATCCACTCTCTGTGTTCTCCCAAATTCTAATCTTCTGAATTCTTCATGTCCCTTTTTTCCTTTCAAATTTATTTCACTGGATTAAATAACATTCCAGACCCTAATCTTCCCGATTACTGCTTATACTCTTACTACCTCTACGATTACGGGATTTGAATCGACAACTGCATCTCTGTGCTAATGTGGTGTGGCAACTCGAACTGATGTACGTACGTACGAAGTTCTACGTTGTTACTGACTGACTGACTGATCGCACTTGATAACGTCTGTGAGTAAAATTCAAACAAATTCAAACATTCATACTCACCGAGTTCATAGATAATCATCGACCTTGTTAATAAAGCACAAATTGTAGATTATATGACGTGTTTTTTTATCAACTTCCTGTCATTATCCATTCTTCATTTCAGCACAGTTAATAGCTTAACATAATGGCGTAGGTGTATACACACTTTGTCTTCCCTTAAACCGTGAGATTAAAATTACTTTATAACTTTCTTTCTACGAACCAATTCTTTTTCTCTGTATCATATCGTTATATGCAATCCCTTTTTTAAAAAAGAAACATATTACTACCATTGAAGTAACTGCTTCCGTGAATTCGGTGGTCATCTTGTTGTGTTATTGGGATATGGCAACTTGGACCGATGCATATATGTACCTGGTTCTACGTTGTAGCTGACCTACTAACATAGTAATCATAGTTTAGTATTATTGATCAATAAAATCCATCTAACATTGATCCATTTAACAAATCAAAGCTTGCCTAGGTGATTTTAATATTTAATGGCACCATTCGTATATTTTTAGACGACTAATTTTTTCATATTAGTATGTTGGTCTTATCCGATAACTTCTAATAACCTCAAAATTTATTATCAAACTGAATTCATTATTAACCGAAATATTTCAGTGACAATGTTTCTAACTGATAATAAGTAACATTGACTTGAGTCAACTGCAAGGATTAGTTCTTTCAATATTATTGACAGTGTATAAGTGGTTCAATGATCATATCATTTAACTTTCAACAATCCTTTGTTGTGATTTCAATTGCTGCTTTATTTATTTCAGTTATACAGTATCACTATCCTTATTTGTGATTTAAACTCCAGTAGATTAGTACATACTCAGAACCTACTTACTTACTTACTTACGGGGGTTACTCCTCGTCGAGGAGCATAGCCCACCCACCAGTACTCTCTACCCAACTCTGTCCTGGACAATTCTTTCCAGTTCTTTCCACTTGTTATTCATCCTTTTCATATCTGCTTCTATTTTCCGATGCAGTATGCTCTTTAGCCTTACTCTCTTCCGCTCCCCTTCAGGATTCCAGGTTAGAGCTTGCCTCGTGATGCAGTTTGCTAATTTCTGTAATGTATGTCCTGTCCATTTCCACAGTCTTTTCCTAATTTCCTCTTCAGTTGGAACCTGGTTTGTTCTCTCTCAAGTTACATTCGTTAATATTGCTGAACTTATCCTCAACGTTTTCAATATCCAATAAATGTATCATACTCAACACTTTCGGTTATCTTTCAGTGAGTGAATAAGTGACATATATTTAAATGTAGTTTTCATGAACTGTTTCATTTCAAGTTATCTGAACATATCTGTTATCAACACATCTAATATTATATTACCCAATATACCAAATGATAAACAAACGTAATGAAATTAAAATCTTCATTGAAAATTAGGCTTCAGTATACAACATTCATCTCCTAAATGACCAATGAAAATGACTAAAAGTACTGGATACGACACATAAACACACACATAGATACATTTGAATATTAAAAACTTTCTAAATAACTTCAGGTTATTAACATTCACTAATCATTCTATTGTGGGACTCCTCAGCAGTGCACATCAACGACCTCGGCCCCTGCGAGATTCGAACCCAGGACCTAGTGGTTCCGCGGGCGAGCACTTAATCACTAGACCACTGAGCTGCGAACCAGTAGGTCCTAGGTTCGAATCTCGCAGGGGGTGAGGTCGTGGATGCTCACTGTTGAGAAGTCCCACAATAGGACGAAACGGCCGTCCAGTGCTTCCAGGTTTTCCATGGTGGTCTAGCTTCAACTGACTCATGATCTTAACCGTTGAAATTACTACAATCTCTACAAAACCCATCTGATACTAATCATTCTATTATATCCTGATGAGAATAATGAATAGGGACTGTTGGGATCTATTTTTGGACTAATACTATAAGTATATTTTTATTGTATAATTGTTAAGTAGTTGAACTATTCATATTCATGTTCCTCTTATTATAGGCTTTATTTTGACTTATGAACTGTTACTATACGACTCACCATTCTTGAGTTATATCTGGTCTATCGATTACTACCTCTCACATTCACAGCCACTTTTGTCCAAATCTTGTACAAATGTTATTTTCTATTTTATGGTACAATGTGATCTATTTAGCTGGTGTATGTAAACCCAGTATGTTTGAAATAAATGATTCATATCTCAGAGGCTGAGATTGGTGTTCTAGACTTAACAGGCAGGTCTAGGCAGGAAGAAGGACCGATAACGACTTTAGACTGCTCGTACTTATTTTATACGTCATTGGTATGGTCGATAATACACTGTTCTCTAATTGACGGTATCGTTACATCATACATTAATAGGAAACAGAGCACAAGTTATAACATTCGTTCACTACCAACTGTTCAAAATAGTATTGTATATTGAAAGTATTTAATAGTCAAGTTACATTTCATATATTTGTGTAAACACAAAAACATGTTTTTTCAATAATTACCCCCCCTTTTTTTACATTCCAGGATAAAAAGTTGGTTGATAATTATGTTAAACATGCTACTACACATAATCGAGTAAGTATTGCCCGACTAATCATGAATTTAATACAGATTTTTTGGTGAATTTAACATTTGTATATATCAGAAGGGTTTTGTGGATATTATAATAATTTCAATGGTTGAGATCATGAGTCAATTGAAGCTAGACCACCATGAAAAACCTAGTAGCACTGGACGGCCGTTTCGTTCTATTGTAGATCTGTTGTGAGATAGTAACTCACTGATGACAATGGTGGATGTGTCGCTAAATTTTGTGAATTGGTTGAAGTGTTAGATATTAACACCGTTGGATACCGGCTTATTGGTCTAGAAGTTAAGCGCTCGCGCGCGAGACTGATAGGTCCTGGGTTCGAATCTTGCGAGCAGGATCGTAGTAGTGCACTACTGAGGAGTCCCACAATAGGACGAAAAGGCCGTCCAGTGCTTCCGAGTTTTTGATGGTGATCTAGCTTCAATTGACTCATGATCTCAGCCATTGAAATTTGCATAATAGAAAAACAAACAACAGCAACAATTCAATTATCAACAGTGTTTAGTATTTGTTTAAAGCTTTTTGTTCTCCCAAATTCTAATCTTCTGAATTCTTTATGTCCCCTTTTTTTCACTTTCCAAATTTATTTCATTGGATTATACTCCTTAAAACCCGAATCTTTCCAATTACTGCTTATCTTTTTACTACCCCGACCACTATGGCATTTGAATCGACATTTGTATCTTTGTGCTAATGTGGTACGACAACTTTAACTAATGTACGTAGGTACGAAGTTCTATATTGTTGCTGACTGACTGACTGAATTGTTTAAAGCACAAATTATTGGTCACATGACATAAATATATTGATCAACTCAATAATCACTAACTATTTCTGTAGTTGTAGTTTCGAATTTCAACTAGAATCTATTGATATGTAGTATTCACGTAAAAAGGATTAATTCATCGACTTTTTTAAAGAGGGGTTTTGATACTACTTGGCTGTTCAATAGTTTGAGATTGCATCTTTTGCGAATCACTTCGATATTACTTTAATTCGCAAGCTTTATAAACAAAGATGGTTGATGGCTAGTAACGGATTCCAGTTTGATGCGCGTTTCGTACTATTTGGGTCTCATTAGCTGGATACCAATAAGAGACCGACCAATTGCAGTGCTAAACATCAATGTGAAGATTCAAACAAACAATACCAGGTGGATTTAAACTTCACCCCATCGCAGAAGCAATTGGCTATCAAAATTCAGTAGCTAAAAGGATAATGTGTTGGTATTTGGAGCGAACGGTACTGAGTTCGAGTTCCTGAGTGAACATCAGCTCTGGGGTGCAGGTACATCTATCTGACGTGTCTCAAGCAGGACGAATCGCGCGTCCCGTATTCCGCTGTTAGCCACAAGTTGTCTTCAAACGTATTGTTCATAGGATTGATAGTTTGGTATAAAAGTTACAACCATAGTTGCATAGAAGTCGTTTAATGTTTGGAATGATTTCGTTCGTACGATATTTGTAAAAGAAAGTGTTCATACGGTTCCAAACTATATGATTTAAAATATTGTCCACTGTTGGCGAATTTTAATTCCTTGCTTTTCACTGAAGTGAATTTTCGAATACTTGCATTGTGCATTGGAATGTAACTGTTTACTGACCAATTTATGCACGAAACTCACTTTGGAATATAATGGTTTTACCTGGAATAACTTAGAATTACCTTCACGAGAGGGTTTAACAGCTAGTTATGGGTGATCAAACCAAGACGTGGCATCAGTCTTTGAAGTCACAAACTTCTGTTCTGAGCCATGTTGGTAGATGCAGAGTACTTGGTTTAGGTCCTCGTAACTATCGTAGCTAAATGGTTGAGGACTCTGGGTGACGTGGCCTAAAATCGATGTACTTGGTTCTACGTTGTAGCTGATTGATTGACTTAACAGCTAGAAAATACCTTTGTGGTATAGAGTGGTATTACACTTAGATATACAGCTTTCCTCCGTAACATTTCTTAATGTTCAACTTAAGGGGACGTTGAAGCGTATGAGTTGAAAGCTATTAAGCTTCATAACAATTGGGAAACTATAGTTAAGTTTATTTTTCAAGATATAAATAAAATGTGACAAGCGAAACTTGACTTCTTAGACAATAGTTAAATGTCAGGTTCATGGAACAACGGGCTGTGGAAACAAATGGAGAGTGATAGATTCAAGTTTGAGGAAGTGAGAATGCTCAGTAACACACAATGTTAAGAATTATTTTAGCGTAATTATGTAACTCTTCTACATATATTACTTTGTGCTTGCTATCTAGCTTGGATCAACAGAACAGAAAGTGAGTTTTTGATTTCTCAAGTTAATAATATGTATTTACATGTTATTCCATGGACTCTGACTAGTTTCCACTTGGTTAATCTTCTGTAGGTCTTGGAAGAAGAACAATGTTGGAGAGAAATAAAACGCCGTCATAAAAGATCAAATGAATCTCGTGATCGATCACCTGAATCAAACTGTGCTCAATCAGAACAAGCACTAGATGCTTATGAGCGTGCACTTCGTTCAGAAGCTAAACGCAGTGTAGAATTACTTTCTGCTCGTACATTACCAAGCGCTGCTGGTGGACAAAATGCTAAAGAGTTTTGGCGAACACTTGCTCGTCGACACTGTGACACTGGTCGTTGGGGTCATGATGGTTGGGATGAATTACAAAATGAAGGTCCTATCCCATTTAAACGTTCTGAAAGTATCGATGATGTAAAATCAAAATCAGTCACATCAAGTATAACACCTAAACTACCATATCAACATACTGTTGACAAATTAAAAGAACAAGAAGCATTGACAAAATCAAAAAAGAAAACTAAACATAAATTATCCGAATCAAAATCGAAGAAAAAACATGCTAAAAAACGTAAAACTAAATTGAAAAAAGTTAAAAAGCATAAGAAAACTGACAAGAAAAAGAAACATAAGAAAAAAACCAAAGTGTCTAAACGACGATCACCTACTCCGTCGTCGTCGTCCTCCTCCTCTTCTTCATCTTCTTGTTCAACATCCTCTTCTTCATCTTCATGTTCGTCACCACCTCCGTCACCAGCTCCTTCATCGTCCAGTTCTTCATCATCTTCCTCCCATTCAGCAAGTTCCATTGGAACAGATGATGAAATAGAATGGCAAGAATTAAAAGTGAAATAATAATGATTGTAATAAAGAAAATGTAATACTTTTTTTTTCTTTTTATTACAATGCATTTTGTAAATTAACTGATAGGAATCAAGTATCTAACTTGAATCTACAGAATTTCTTCAATATCCTTTCCTATTTCTTGATATTTTGTCATTGTGTTTTATCCTTTCTCTTCTCTTTCTTATTCATAACCGATGATGTAATGTAAAAAAATAAATCACATAGTTTCCAACTAGAGATGGGTAAAGGTTACGACTCTATCGTACCTAGTTCGGTTTGAATAGTTATGTAAGTAACTTTATGCCTTACATGAACAATATAACTCTAAGCTGAATATATATATATATATATATATATATATATATATATATATATATATATATATATATGAAGCTGTACTGTATGTAGATCCTTAATTCTTAATAATTATGGTTTCTGTTTGGTTGATGGAATGAAATTTCCCCTCTTCCTATTTGTGTATTTTGTTATACTTCTGTTTGTATGTTGAATAGGGTATATTTCTTAAGAAAAAGAATGTGCTCTTTCTACTGTTCTTATTTTATATAGAATGTTATTATAATAAAATGGTGTATATAATAATGGTTAATGTTTTATTGATAAATTGTATACTTGAATGGTTGAGATCATAAGTCAATTGAAGTTAGATCACTATGGAAAACCTGGAAGCACTGAACGGCCGTTTCGTCCTATTGTGTGAATTCTCAGCAGTTAGCATCCATGATCCCGCCCCGTGAGATTCGAACCTAGGACCTATAGATCTCTCGTGATAACGCTTAACCTCTAGATCACTAAGCCGGTATCTAACGGTGTTAATGTCTAACTTCAACCAGTACTTCTAGGTTTTCCATGGTGGTCTAGATTCAATTGACACATGTTCCCAACTATTGAAATTACTATAGTATTCACAAAAACCCTATTCTTATTTTAATTAGTGAACAGCTTTGTTAATAGGTTTGAGCTTTGCAGATTTCCTTCTTGTAACAAAGGTGTTACTGTAATCAGCTACCTCGAATGAATATGCCTTATTGATGAGTGATATTGCGCACAAAACCGAGATTCAAGGATTTGTTTTCGAATAATTTTAAGCAAATAATATCAAACATAATGCTCTTAAGTTATCAGCCCCTTGCCATTATTTGAGAAATGAAGGCTCTCTTCCAAATAATTATGTCATTTGCGCTTGTGTGGAGAAATCAAGAGTGAGTGGAATGATTCTATTGGCTAACCAAACCAAATATCTGCACAAACACATTGATATTTTATGTCCCTCAGATAACAATAGTGTATTTCTGTTCCGTTTGATAGTTGAGTCAAATCTTGACTAATATCATCCATCCATCAGGATCTCTCCCTTGCCATTCGGCCTTTAGATATTGTCTAATTTCCTCAGCTTATCACAAGTCTGGTGTTGTCCGTTCTTATTGTTACACTGTTATCACCGAATATTATTCGTTGATCTGTCTACCGATCTTTGATAAAGTGTTGTATTGGAAGCATCCCTTTATGACTCTATTAGCTACTTGCACTCATACAAATTACAGTACCTTAACAGACAGCTCAATAATCTACTCATAATTTCAGGAAGTGTTTTTCAGGTTAATGTTTTGTTTTTTCAGTTAACGTTATTATCTTCTTCGAGGACTTCAGGATTTCTTGTGTGAGGTAGGTTTGTTTTAGTTAGAAACGTGAACGAATAGAAGTCAACTCTATGGTCTGAAGGAATAAGTGCGGTGCTAAATCTGAAGGTCCTGTGTTTGACCGGTGTATTCTTTTAAGGGGTTTTATACGACGATTAAACATGCTTAATAATTTCCGATTCTTACCGGTTATGTAATTAAAGTCAGTCTGTAATGTGAACTATATAGTGAGCAGCCTCCAAAACTCATTCTGAGAAACGTGTCAGTCCATTTCTAAAGTCAATTTTAGCATGAAATCAGTTGACTATTTACTGAATTTCAAACGGCATATAATGATTGTTTATTTAGTGCTCTAATTCTGTCATTTGATAGTTATATACAAATACAAAACTCTGTTAAGTCCTTGTTTGTATCAACACCCTGATTTTGTGGTGTGAAATCTAACCCATAGTCGTGTATATTATGTACAATGTGAAATTAAAAGAGAAAGTTTGGAACAAACCAACTAAAGACAGACAAAATCAATAATCAATTAATTATCAGTATGGAGTTGTGGCGATTGTTAAGTTTTTTGATTAAGATCATGAGTCGATTGATGCTGGACCACTATTAAGAACATGGAAGCACTGAATGGCCGTTTCGTCCTAGTATGGGACTCCTCAACAGTGCACATCCACGGTCACACACGGTTGATTCCGACCCAGTACCTTCGGACTCGCGCTCCAACGCTTAATCTCTAGACCACTGAGCTGGTATCCAACGATGTTAATGTCTAACTTCAACCAATTCACTAAATTGCGCGACCATCTTCCATTGTACTGAGGAAGTTACCTGCATTAGCTCCACTGGTCACAGCTTCTCACTAGGACCCCGAGAATTCCCTTACGAAGCTAGTCACTGCTGAGGAATCCTATGCTAGGACGAAACGATCATCCAGTGCTTCTGGGTTCTCAATAGTAGTGCTGGTCTAACATCACTCGATTCATGACCTCAACCAAAAACCAATTAATTGTATATAGTTGTACATTGTATCGTTAACTAATGCGTATTTCTAAAGTACATTCTCGGATTACATAAGTAACACATTTAAGGACAAATCATGAAATTGTTGGTAAATCTATTCTCTACATTTTTCTCTAATATATCTAATATCTAATGAAGTGAACTGTGTAGAGATTATACGAGATAGGTTATAACGGTAGCATTCAACTATATTGTTCATGTAATAATATTAGTAAGATCGAAACAAATACACGTAGTCAATGGGAGTAATCAGAATAGGATTGAATGAATGAAATTCGATAGAATGACAAAAAGAACTCCTATAATGGGTCAGTTTGATTCGTGATAATCAGTCTAATCAGAGGATAAACAGTTTTACAAAGATTCTTTTGTATAATTTGGTCAAGTAGGAAACATTTGATAACGATTGGCTCTGAAATTAATATGCATCTTATAATCACATTGAATGCGTTGGAGATGCTTATTTGTCAACATTATCCATTAATCGCTAGTTCATATTTGTTAAGATACTTCTACTTAAGGCTTCGAGAAATATTCATAGAAAACCTGATAAATCTCTCGATAATTCTTATGTAACTACTAATATAAATATATAAACATCCTTGAATAAAACAAAAGTTTACCTTAAAGGCTTAGTGAACCTATTTAATTGTTGTGATGGAAATATTATTATATTCTAAATTCATTTAAGCTCTAAAAAAACATAACTCATATCAGCAAAGATTGATAGTGGTTAGCAGTGGAATCCAGTTTGATGCACGTTTCGTCCTATTTGGGGCTCTTCAGCTGGATGCACCTGCATCTCAATGTAGATGTTCACTCCAGGACTCGAACCCCATACATTCCGCTACAAACACCATCGCGTTATCCACTTAGCTATAGAGTCCTGAGAGCCACCTGCTTCTGCAGTGGGGTGAAGTTTTTAAATTCACTTGATGTTGTTTAGGACTGTAACTCATCAGTCTGTCTCTTATTGACATATGTTCATTCTGTGCGTATTGCATGGTTTGCACATATGCCAGTCTTAAATAACAATGGGAAGATACAAGTAAACAATATCAAGTGAATTTAATAAATCATATCAGTTAACTTCATATGAAAATCTTTATCATTCGTTTATTGTAATATTTATCGTTTGCTAACTAGGAACTAATTTAAAGATAGATTCTCCAAGTTTTAGTTAGACATTTGCCGATTGTAGAATTCAGTAGTCTCAGGAATGGGATGGATATCATCGACATCTTTGGATACAAAACAAGTATTATCATTAAATAAAATGAAAGGTAATAACCAATAGATTCTGGCTTAATGAAGTAAAACCATCATTCAAAACTTAAAATTCTCGATCTGTTTTGTGTGGAGGGTCATGAGTTTCCACTATTAATTAGTTAGTTCTAAAATATGATGAAATAGTTGTTCACTACTCATTGATTTTTAATGTTTATATAGCTGCTATTAGTCTACTGTGAAAACTATTAGCTTATTATTAGTAGAAATTATGTAACAGTCGCTATGGACCCCGAATGCCCTAGTACGGCCTAGGGTGGGGAGAGTCCGCCCTTGCTCTCAAAATGCTCTCACATGACCACGCGTATAAAGCCACTGGCAGGGAAGTCCTACTCACTGCCTTCTCGTGGTATTATTGTTTACAAAATTGAGAAGACGAAAAGCTGATGTCCGGCGCTTTAACCGGGTTGGCGGGCATGGAGAGTTCACTTAAGGGAGTTGGAAAACCCTGATTACAAACCAATGGTGTACATGGGCTCCAGTATTCTGAGGAAACAAATGGCGTATGTACCAATTATTAATGACTGGTTACCATGAGACGGCACCTCCTTACGTTGGTCCATCGCCTTGTGGATTAAACCTTTAGATCGAACGCTCGAGTTATGGGCCTCTAAGAAAACCACCTGCTTCTGTTTACGCACCCAGGAAGTATCATAGCCCACACATGAATCACGTGACTTGTGTGGCGCTTATGTATTCATTGTCCCTTAGTGCCAATATTTATGTGTTCAAATAAAAATAAACAGTCACTATGATCTCTTGACACTAGTAACAACCATGTGCTCACTAGTGTTTTTTTATGAGAACTGATCCTCGAAGTTCTAATAAAACGCTGTGGTTAGTTGAGTTCAATCATTTCGAGTGTGAAGCAGTTACCCACCAATAGCATTAGAAGACAGTCATTTTATACTGTGAAACAATTAAAGTCAAACATATAAACCATTGGATAATGACTCAGTTACTTAAACGTCAGACACACGCTGTGAGACCTGAATTTTCTCTGCGAGATCATGTATTTGCACTATTGAATAGTCTTGTACT